TAAAGGATCCCAGGTATAAGAAGGAGGGAACACGTGAGAAGGCAGAGCATTCCATTTACGGATAGTGCGACAAAGAAATTAGTCACCAAATTTTTTTGTACGCGTTGGAATTGTGGTTTCGGTTAGGCGGTGACAACGAAGGCCAGTGCGCGTGGTCCTCTGAAGGAAAGGGGAAGGTAGAATAAGGAAGAATAATTCCTCAGAACACTGGGCCAGATTTGGCCATAACTCGCAACGCGGGTCCAGTGCGGATTGGTGTGTGATGCTTATATTAATAAATATTTTTAACTTCGTTCCAACCGAGTGTTCCACGACACTCACAATTTTTTTTTGGATATCCTCCTATTATGGGTTATTACGAGAGTCTTTTTACTTCACTTTTGCAGATTGACCGCACTAACCAGAAACAAGACGCCATTGAGCTCCACAGAATAAAAAAAATGTTATTTTTAAATCTAAACCAAATTTTACTAGAAAAAAACTTTACATTTAAAAATATTCAAGAAAACGTCGCATGCGCAGTTTTGATCATGCTCAACTCTCACGTGATTCTATCAAAGTTTAAATAGTTTTATACTAGGTACGTTACGCACAAAGTTCAACATAAAACTGACGTGTTTACCCAATAAAACCCTACACAAACATATTTCAGTCTTAACAACTGTTCGCTCGCGAGACAGTGTGCTGTTTTTTTTTAACAAAACAACAAAAAGATTACCACAAAAAAATTGACATGCGTTCAACACGAGTTTAAGAAAATATGTCATATAAATTTTGCCTAAACATGGTTTAAATAGTGTCTTAAGTTTTTTATAGACCGTAAAGGATTACCATATGGACATCAGCACCGAAACAGCCGCACGCGCCGTGACATGAGACATGCATGACATCCGTAGTCAGTCAGTCACAACAAGTCACAAGCTAATTGTAATGATAACATTTTATTAAATGCTAGACAAGGAGCGAAAAATCTACATATCGCAATCGCACGCTTAATGGAATATAACAAGATTGTCATAATTAAGTACATTGCCAGCAAGATCAAGTGCGGTAAAATAATGTTGCAAGGCAAGAGCGACATTGTAACAAAAATCATTATAAGCTAAATTCCGTGGAATGCTACAGCCTTGGCATAGCGGCCGTAGGCCGTTAAATATCTAGTTTTTCAAACAAAAATCTGTAGAACATGGTAATTGTCATAGCTTTGACACAATTATTAAGTTAACGTAAAAGAAAGAAAAACTACTTTTTTTTGAGGAATTATAAACAACATGTTAGTGTGAATTCGCTAGTATTTTTTCTCAGGTACCTTATTCATGGTGCATAATAATAACAAGTTTTTGTCAACTTGACCAATTTCACTGAAAAGCTATTCGTGTCGCGCAGATGTTCTCACGTTGAACAAAACATTCAGTAACCTAATTAATGTTATAAAAAAAGAATAACATAACTGCTCCACTGACCAACCAACCGAGTGAATGAGGTTTTTTTATGTCACAGATACCCGGGAGTCTAACATGTAACGTAAATATAATTGGTACTAGCGGGCGCCGACGGGTGACTGCGTTAACTTTAGTTTTGTGAAAATCGCTCAGAAAGCTAACACTTTTACGGGGAAAAAAGTATGCTATGTTTTAATCCAGGTCATAAACTATATATGTACTAAATTTCATTCAAATCCGTTCAGCCGTTTAGGCATGAAAGCGTAACAAACAAACCAGCAAACTCACTTTCGCATAATAAGTTATGATGAAAATGTAAATCATTTATTTAGATTGTTGTAAAAAACTGCATGATTTTTAACTTACTTATCGGCTCGGAAAATCTAAAAAACTGGGTTTGTAATATCTTATTTCAAATACCAATTTATTAACGTGGTGCTGGTAGAAGATCCGATCACAACTTAAAGCGCGTTTACTTAACATGAAAATGTTTATTAGCCATTTGACAATCTTACAACACCCACTCATAAACACATACATAAATCGGTTCATAAACTTAAATAATAATAATACTTTACGAAAGCTGCGAGTTTTTGGTCAGTCGTGTCATAACCAGATTATATCGAAAATATGTATGTTGTTCTTAATATACCTGACTTGTATCTTAAACAGTTTAACTTCATTTAATAAATACGTTAATATTTAGCTAAATCTTTCCGGGAATCCTGAGGCATGTCCATAGTAAAGTAACACAGACCTTCAAGTTCTTTGACTCCAGGTGGCACTATCCAGAACATGAAATAATTAATACATAGATATTTTGGAAAATATCGGGAATCCCGGGAATCCCGGGAAAAACCATATTAAATGAAACGCGCTGAAATGGGTTCAAAATGCGTCTTTTTTTTCTGACGTTTCCTCAAATTTTCGTTTTCGGCAAGAAAGTAATAAATTTTGAACCTGTTTAAGCGTGTTTCGTTAAATGAGTGGTGTGGATGAAAACTTTAGAAACAAACATCCATATTAACATTTGAGTTCACTGACCCCAAATGGCAATACCTACGCCGATCACTATTAATAATACGATACGTCTTTGGACAGTCGTGTCACAAAATTTGACGATGCATTTGGTGGATGTGATCAAAATAGAAATATACAGTGGCTAGTTCAAGGTCTCTTCTTTCAAACTTATAGCTCAATTACAATTGGTCGTTAGCCCGAATACAATGCCAATGGCATTCGAGTTTTTCGTGCACCCGAAAACGGCCTAACGACCAGGTGCTATATCAAAAAATCCATAACATATGTAGTTATTTGTAACTTCAGTGTCCATATTGGTAAACATCCACTAATCAATATTATTAAAATAAAAGTATAGTGATAATTAAATGTCTGTTATTCAATTACTCAAAAATGATTGAATGAATTGATTAAGATTATATTTTATTAACAGGTTATTGTATGTTTCAATCCCGGTAATATGCTGTATATTACCAGGATTGAGATACACAATAACCTGTTTACTGGAATAACGTGTTGTTAGGTTCCAGTGGGATTGCCAAAAAACAACAAACTACTACAGGATATATCTACAGTAATAGAAACTATTGTTTAATACGACGTGGTAGTATTGATCTACAGATAGATATTCTGGAACTTCTATCTCCATTGCATAGGTTCCCAAAAAATTAAAATCCACAAGGGCACAATCGCGGACAAAGTATAAAAAATAAACAAACGTGAAACAGTGCTATGAAACTCCTACCGCGCGCAATGACTTTAAAATTTTCTTCACTTCTAAGCAAGATACCGTAAAAGGAGCGTTTAGATTTAAAGACACTATTTTACGTTAATTTATAGAGATGCCAGTTTAAAATGTCGCATTCGTACTCCGTAGATCACTATCTGTGACGCTGAGGTCGTTAAAAGCAGTGTTGATAGTAAAAAAAAAATACGTGATATTTATCTTGATTTGAAATAGCTTAACAATACCTCTGTTTTTATAACACTTCGGCGGGAAGGCACCCTTACCTTACGACGACGTGTACCTTGGTAACTGTATCACATTATATCTGTCACACTTTTTTTTACCAAAAAAAGTTTATCTTATTAATTAAAAAGTTATTTAGTATGTTTGACTAGAATTCTAACAATTAAATTAAGAAATAAAACACAGACGAATTTCAATCTAAGACAAATAAAGAATGTACTAAAGTGAAAAAATTACAAAAAAATACTGCATACTTATAAATAGGACGTTAGATCATTTTACATATGTATTTATTTTTTATATAACAAATCTACAGTATAATACACAGCCGCAACAAACCATCTGATTGTAAATATCGAAAACGAACGAAAGGTGATCTTGTACAAATATGGGAACTGATAAAGAGAAAGATTATGGTATTGATGTAAAAATATTATAGCATTCCTGAAGTATCTGGTTTCGATTCTGATAAATGTAGGAAATCAAATAAATGTTTTGTTTGTTATGCTGTCGGTTCGGCATTGACTTTACAACATATTCTTAGTAAATGTATATAATATCATAGGGGGACGCAATGGTGCAGAGGTTCAAAATTAACACTCAAGACTTAGGAGCATTTTTAGTAATTTTAGCTTAGCAAACCCAACATCGAATGCCGCGAAGTGTTTAGTTAGTGCATTATTGCACCAATGATTCCTCGCTCCCACTGCGTAATAATATAGAAATAATTAATTTTGGATAGGTAACGATGAAGCTGGCATGTTCTCAAAGGAATAAAAGCCCACAAATAAAAAATATATATATAATGGACTAACATAAGAAGTAATGAAGTTGTGTAATATTCAGTTATACTCTATTTCGGGTTGTTCCGTATTCATCCTATGAGGTCTCATCCCATTTCCTTACTCATCCCAAACTAGTATTTCTAACTCAACCTATAAAATTTTAAAAAAATCTGACTCTCTCACTTGAAACACAAATAAATTTACTGACAATAAACATGAATAGACTTACAGAACCACCAAAGACATCAGTGTTTGATATAATAAAGCGGCACCATTCCGTAATATCATATGCACCAGTCACTCGTAACACGATCATCTTGACTAGAGAAATAGTCAAGATGATCGTTCCTTCCTTCCTTCCTTAGTTCAAGATTGTATAATTGGCGCCCATCGTGGTGTAGGTGTTCCATAGACAAATGGACAGACATCAACCAGTGCGGGTACTCTTAGAACCTTTTATCATTCCACAACGGATAAACGAACAGACCGGCGTGTTTAATTTCGTTTTTTATGTCAGTATTTTATAAACTTGATGGCATCTGCGTAACTATATTTTTTCATTATAGCATTACCATTCCATTTCGGGCAGCCGCATATTTTCAATGACCATAATATACATTAACATAATCTTTATTTAGTTTTCATAGTACGCGCTCAGCTTAGTCTGGGTCTAAACAACTGTCCGGGATTCACTATAGAAATTTATTTAGTTCTTCAATGATTTATCGGAAGCTATCAGAGTTTATCAGGGATTTACTAAAGGAATTTATCAATCTCAATTACCGTGAACATAGGTAAGCCCAACCCGACGATGTACAGCATGCTGCTGGTGACTGTCGAATCCTTGTAAGGGTGCTTGAGGGACTCATCGTCGCAGAAGAACCCTCGCTCGTACGGTTGACCCCACAGGTAATAAGCGAGCACGAGGAAACCAACTGTAACAAGGAAAAAAACACTTTAATAACAGAGTATTAAAACTCATAAACTCTTGTGTTGAAAATACTTTAACTCAAAAAAGAATGCAATTGTTAAACAAAAATATGTAGTAATGTCAGGAACCTATTAAAGACATCATAAATGTATATATAAAATCATAAAAATAAAAAAGCTTTATCAAAGAAGTACCAATGAGTATAATGTGAAACGTCTTTCACGTATTAACACAATAACGACAACATTGCCCTTGATATAATTATTCAAGATGAATAATGAAAAACAAGAGCGCATATATTTTCAGAACACCTTACGGGCTTAAAAGAAATAAAATCACAATCCTTCTTATCTTAATCTTAAAGGATCACCGTGTTCCTTAATGATAAGAATGAAAAAACACCAGACAGAAAGACAAATTACAGTAACACATCGAATTAATAAATCAAAACCACAATTAACTTTCCGACGCCATTAAAAACTGGGATACAGATGAGCGTCAGAGTATAATATGACTTGGTATAATAACATCAACTTCTCATGAACCTTATAACTTGGTGATAGAGGTTGTTTTTGCGGAAATAATATCAATAGTCGAGAATACAAGAACCAACCCCATTGAGTAGACGAAATTAACTATTGTTTCACGGATTGTTTCTTGTCCAAACACATCTACAGAGAGACAAAAAACAGCAGGTACCAAATGCTTCAAGATGTAAAATATTTAGATGTGGCTAAGAGAGTTCCGAAGTTTTATGATTAAGTCTTAAATAAAAATCAAGTAAATAAATTACAATACCATCAGTAAGAAAGATATTTAAAAATAAAATTCATTTTATTTAGATTCCATTATTTATTTTTGGCAATGACGTGAAAGGTGTAATGTGTCGAAAAACAAATCGTTAATGTTGAATAGCATTGCTTTTTTTTTCAAAATACACACTTGTATATTTTTAAGGATTTAAGATAATAAAGGCCTGTTCGATTAAGTAGATATAAACAGGGTTATATAATTCAAAGCAATATTTATATAAATAAAAAATATATGCCATAGTTAAAACAAATTGTATAAGTTTTACATATACATAAGCATAAAGAAATACTTTAAACACACACATTTTTGAAGAACAACAGTACTAAGTGTATGTGACTGTTAAAAGCATAATAGAAGCAAAGTATCAACAAAAAATTATTCAACATGAAAATTACAAATATTTTCTTTAACGCGTTTAAGAAGTCATAAAGGCGAAGCAATGTCAATCTACAAGCGAGCGGTGACTGCGGCGAATGTGGATTTTTCAATCAAAGAAACAGTTTCAACACTGGCTGTCTCTTCCAGTATTTCATCAAGACGTGAGGGCGAACCTTTTGTTATGGATCTCGGTATAAAAATAACAAACGGACCGTTTTACGCGATGCATTATCTGGTTACGAGTTGACTTGAGTGGTTTCCCTGCCGACGGGTAGAGCGACGGACTTAGAAATTATTGCCTAATTGTTATTGATTTAAATTCTGACAAGGATACGTTTACTTATGTTCGACAGGTGTACGTTTTTATATAATAGTCCCGATTTGATTTTGGGACTCTTATAATTAGAGTAACGATGGAGGTTCAAGTTGAAGCTGTTAAGTATGTTTGCTTATTACGCTATTTGAAATGTGCTTTGTATTATGTCACGGAATTTATACAACTCTTGTTTGAAAATATAAATAACCTGTCTCATTGATATCAATTGGAATTGATAATAGTATTACAGTATGCTGCTACAGCGTAGACTGTAGGTCAGTTGTAAATTTTCCCAAGCAAATTGTCACTATTAATTTTGGACAAAAATTTTAACCTATTTGTTTTCTTTTGTCCTTTCAACTATTCTAGGAATATTGCACGATGCTATCTGTACACGATATTATAACTGCCTCGACGGTCTCTTTAAATAGTAAAATGTACAACACGTTTCAAATTCACAGCATTCTTATGTAAAACAAAGAAATTATTAAGTCATTCATACATACTTACATACTTTCCTCTGCCTTAGAAACAATGGAAGAATTTTAAAGCAACATGTAAATATTTGTTCAACAAAACGAATCTAATTAATGTTTATAATGTACACAATGATGCTAATAATATAATGAATGGAAGCTATTTTAGGAATAAGTACGAGTAAGTTGCGTTGTTCACAGCAGATGTTGCATGTACATGTACTAGTGAGTATGCAAGCGGGTCAGTGTTACATGAAACATTCATATCATCGGAACATACATAAAGTGGAACGGAATCATAGGCGGACGCGTCGTTTACATGACAAATAGGCAAATTTGCCTATTTATAAAGTAGGTAAGTTAGAGCGAAGACCAAGAAGGTAGATGATGATGCTAAGAAGATCGAGGCACTTCCTCAGAATGATGGCGTACCTAAAATTTTTAAAATTTAGGTAATTTTCAATATTAAAATTGATATTTTTTACATAATTTCAACACCAAAATAAGGTTTAAGATATAAATCCTCAAATGAAGTTCTTTTAATATATTGCAAGGATAACTACCTTCAAATTGCGGTTGACGTTTCCCAAGAACCTTCAATTGTGGTTAAGAGATTGAAAGGTAACCAGATAGAAGTTGTATCTAGTTATACTATTAGACAATAAGGAAGTAAATTCAATGAGCTCCGCTTTGGGTCCTCACATCAAGTCGTCGAAATGCCGATTGCATTTGAAGTCGTGTACGCCTTGCAAGCAATTCATACTGGTACTGGCGTTTCTATATTCATAAGGAAAGCCTGTACTGTAAACAATTGGGTTATATGTTGATCTGGTAAAGATGAAGGAAAATCATAGCGATTGGAGGATACGTTGAAGCAACGTTATGACGAAAAATATTAGGATATCATGTACATATTTTAAGACAAGGCGCAGCAAATTACCCAACGTCACCTGATATTTAGTGTGAGCGGAGTTTTAATTGCAAAGATAGCCTTTCTTTTCCTTACCGGAGAAGCCGGTCTAAACCAACATGGGCAGAGGCTAAAATCTTGCCATTCCACCTTACTCACACAGAAACACAACACCACCAAAAGCTAATTTTGCATCAAAACGGGGATTAATGATAAAAAAAAAATGTTGCATCACTAAGTCTTCTGTAAGGTGTTCATTATTTCTCCAGACGGCCACTCCGATTCGAAAGCATGTACAATACAATACACTAAAATAGCCTTTTTCTTTATAAGCAGTACATGCAAAGGCTCAAGACCCAGAGCGACCGGTTATTCAATCTTCTATTTGTAAAACAATTTAAATTCATTAGACAACACTTTATAATCAACATCGTCAACAGTCACAACAACAAAAATAAATACCTTAACAAACTGTGTGACGAGATTTGTAGTTCATGAATATCTAAAGTGGCACCACGAGCATATAATTGGGGACCACACGACACGTTAGAGATAAGTGGTATTCATTACAACACAAACACTTTCAACGTTGTCAAATTGCTCAATGACAATGGTCAACACCATTAACAATGATACGAGTAAACAAAACAGGTTCCAGGGTGAAATTATAGTTTACTTATGTATATTTTTTTTTTCATTTTGATTTACACTATTCCGAACCGGCTTTGCACAGGTACTATTTTTTCTCAGCAACCTTTTTCTAACAATTAAGAAGATCATCCGTCAAACCTACAGGTATTACCTACTTTAAAAAAATGTGAAATATCATATTTATTATCCAAAGTACAAAGCACTTATTTTAATTATTACAATAGATGAGAAACAAATTAAACCAAGAATGAATATAACAAAGGAGATTGAGAGGTTAATGAATAATAACACCTTGTACTAGTCTGAGCAGGTAACATGCACCTGTGATAACTGTCTGAGTGTACATATCAATAATCTACGTCAGAAGTACGGTATCTGGGAAATACCAACTTAGCATTCATTTCTGCTCTCTAATTTGCGGTTCTATTGCTCATAATATAAAAAAAGCAAAAGTCACAAATATGGTCAATAAAAATAAAAAAAGGCAGAACGAAAATGGAAATAGAAATTTTATACAAAAAAATAGTGACGTGATGATTTGTGTAAAAAAGGTTCCTGATAATGAATAGAATATCTTGAGATAGTTTCTGAAAATAACAATGATAATACAATCCTTAAACTAGTGCCAATTGAATATCGAAATACAATTTAAAAAAAAAATGGCAACGTAGAATGGGGACGGATTTTTAGTTTCTATACCATATAGTTCTAACAAATATGAATATTTTCCTTTATTCTTCAAAACACCACAAACACCATTTGAAACATAAATGTCTGAGCCTTTCTCAATAACCAGACAGAAACAAGAAATAAAACCGAATCTAATTTTAATACACTAGAAATATTTACGACTGCCCCAAAGTGAGAGGCAACGTTCCTAACTAAACATGTATCGCAATTCGACTGAAGAGAGCGCCTTCCCAAAGTCAATAAACAAACGGACAGAGCAGGCAGAGTAAATATAATTAGTTAATAAAGTGCATACGCGTACGTCTGAAACGATTCATAATGATCACGTTGACATTGAAGCATGGAACACCAAGAGAAGAGAAAGTTGAGCTTAAGCACCTAATCCGTATGTAAAATGAAAAAAAAGCATTATGACCATAAACATTGCCCGAATGCAGTTATTTTCCGATGTTACCCACGCACGCACATTGAGAGTAAGATACAGCTGACAAATCACCTGCCATTCGTTCTTTTGATAGCGCGCTACAACTACATCAAACATTCGTTATCGAATTTTAAGCGGTAAGAAATACAAGGAACAAATTGGGTACAGAAGAAACTGGAGTTTAAATCAAGTCTTCTGGTTTGATTTAATTTAAAATCCTTCTGATTTGTTTTGATTTAAACTCTGTTCAAAGCATTTCTGAAGTGTCAATTTTATTGTGAATGTGTGATCTGAAGTGTCATTCCAAATCAGTTAATATTTAGGTACATTCCATTAAGACATGGTT